GGAGATGTTATAAAACATTTACAGTATCATTTCCCAATAACAAAATATAACCTTTCTTTTAAAATTGCTAAATTGCAAACATAATTATGTTTGTGTAATATTTATTGTCTGTTCAAAGAAAAAGAAACAAAAACTGTAACAGAGGAGATCACATAAATTGGGGAATCAGCAAAGTGAGAGTCAATAGTTGGAGAGTTACAGCCTGGAGATCTACAAAAGCATTAAGGATCAGAATTGAATTTGCAACCTGAGATAAAGGCAGTATCTAGAAAACTCTCCTCCTGTGCTTCAGGTGTTGTATTGGTAGACCAAATACCATTTCCATATTTATTTATTTACCGGTAGTTTGCTAATCAGCTTTTCTAGTAGCACTATTGTCTACAAATGGTCTAATTTAGCTATCCTCTTACACAGAGCCCATCCAAATTTTTCGCATGTTTAGCAATCTATAAACATGCAGCAGCAAGTGATAAGAAGATAAGATTCTTGTGGATTAAAGCTGATTCTGACATTATACATACTCCTGAATCTGAATGGAAAACTGTGGCCCTCGACTGTGTTGGCTTAAAGTTTCCATAATCCCTGACCATTGGACATGCTTTCTGGTACTGATGGCAGTTGGAGTGCAGGGGCATTTGGAGGTTTATATATTCCTTGTTTGATAAATAAAACATTTTTGTTATTGTTCAAGACATGTACATAAATACATGCAAACACAGATTTCCAGTTTTTACATGAACAGGGAAGATAAAAATGGCCTCCTTTTTAAATATAGTTTTCTCATTACTTTCCATTATATTTAGATCAGAAAGTAAATCCCATATTTACATCGTGTATGATACATGCAACATCATTCTGCTGTTTTTATGTATAGCCACAGTAGACAGCCTAAATAATCGAGCAATTTTGTCTTTGAAGTTTCTGTCCACATAAACTTGGCAGTGAATGTCTTTTTCTTGGGAATGTTTTTTTTTTTTTTTGTAAAAAAAATCTTTGGCATTTTTGATGAGCAACTGTCTAGCCCTAGTAACTGGAAGAAGTTTACAAGCCAAGAGTATCTTTGTTGTGGTAAGCCACTTCCTCTGTCTTTCTGCTTACAATTGCTTTAGAGGCAAAGAATACTAACTCTGAATTGCAACTTTTTTTTTACAAGGAGAGTTAAAATCTATTTTTCTACATTTCTGTGACCAAGAATCTTTAAGGCCAATTAGTTTGGATATGCCTAGCCCAGCCTCATGCCACAGCGTCACATCTCAGTCCCTGAAATACCAAAGGATACAATTAGATGTTAAAGCACATGCTATTTTGCTCTCTTCCTCCATTGGCAGTGAGGAGCTTAAGGCAGATTTTATAACGTAAGGCTGAAACTCTATGTCTCTATGTCTGAAGTCCAATTATGGTGGAGTATGCCTAGAGAGCCAACGTGGCGCAGTGGTTTGAGTGCTGGACTACGATTCTTGAGACCAGGGTTCAATTCGCAGCTTGGCCATTATACACACTAATGACCTTGTGAAGGGATCTAGTCATCCAGGCAGACTACAAGTTGAACATGAGTCAACAGTGCGATGCAGCAGCTAAAAA